AAGATTGAAAATATTACATATTTAGTAGAACGGTTTTTTTTTTCTTAATTAGTCCATAATCCTTGTTTAGAATATATTCCTCATTTTTTTGTTAATATTAACACATGTCACAATCTAAATTAACAATTACACATGTCATGATCTCATGAATAAGAATTTTGCTTACGTGTCGCGTTCTCATCATGCGCATCCTCATTTATATAATAAGATATTTAATCACACTTACAAAAACATATATTGTTTTTCGTTTATTATGTCCGCTAAATTCATATATATCTTAAATTTATCTGATTTTTCGTATTCTTGATAATTTACACGAATAATGAAGATCAGTTATACAGTTATAAGATATTAAAATAAATAATATTTGCATATGTTTTGATCAAGTTTACAGATAAAAATATCAAAACTAATGGCCTTAACATATAATTGATCAAAGATATTCAACTTTATTATATTTACGCACCATACTCATTTTTCTATGTTTATAGTTATTAAAAGTCATATGCTTTATCATACACTTTTAAATATATAAAATTTTGTATATGTTTAATCGATTAGTCCACCTCTTTAATCATTTACATACTCTTCTAACATCTTTACAAGCTCTTACATTGTCAGTTTTGATGAGAGAATGATTTTGTTATCTATTTGCTTTTTTTTTACAGAGACAAAGAACCTTTTTTTGAGTCAGGTTATGTATATCCATAATTCTTATCCGTGTTCAGTATGTTTACCGAGTTTAGTAGTTTGATGTTTGGGGTGGCCTTTGCAGTAGCATCCTTAATGACCATGTCCATAATTCCAAACAATGTTGAAGGAAGACTCCTGCAACAATTCCAAACACTGAAGGATTAATGCTTAACATATCATGATAGAACCGAATGTTTCTCTGATTAAAACTTATTAATCGTTCGTGAAAGAAAATAAAGAATAACAATAAATCATTGACAATACACTCACAAGTATCAACCAATGGTCAAATACGGTATTGTACTTGAAGTTGGCATATTCCTCTACAAAACGTCCAAATGCATCAAAAACTATACTAACATATCGCTTGTTTTGCGACCGCTTTTGTATGATCGGAAACCTGAAATTAGATGACAAATAGTTGTTTTTTCTAACCTTAGTTTAAAAGGTCTATGACTGCTTCAGCGGACACTG